ACATTTGAAGCGAATGGTTACTGGTTCGAGTCACAGAATGTACATCAACAAGTCTGAGATGTAGGTATATCCATCTGACGAGTCCCAACTAGGACGAAACGCGCGTCAAACTGGATTCAACTGCTAGTTACTATCCATTTTTTCTTATTCATAACTTTGCCAAACTTATATATTTATGAACTTGACCATAAATAATATGAACACTCAGTGGAAGCATATAAACTCCATGTCAGTATATATATTAGTACACAGGTAAAATTACCCCACCATTTCATTTTCTTACAATTAAGAACATTGTACTAGATCGACTATTCAATCGTTTAAGCTGTGATATGACAATTAAAATACCACTCCCCATCATTTATACCACCATTACCATCCTTATAAATTGTTCAGGTTTACAGTTAATCAATAATTTTCACTACTTCTCAATACTGTACTAAATGTTTAGAAGTAGATAGTTTTGTGTTTAATTATTAGTTTGTTGGGAGTAGTCTATCAGAAATCCTGCAGCTAGGTTTTATGCATGTTGACACTTGTCAGCAAGATATATCGACAGTTTCGAGAGGTCGAGAGGACCACAACTGACCTCATGTGGAACTGAGATATTAATACTGACTGACCATTGAGTGTTGACCAGTATCATGTTTGTCCAGTCCTTAGTACAGATTGAATCCTATCTATTATTTTGTAATACAACCACTAGTCTAAGTTACTTATGAGATAAGTGTCCTACATTATCCAGTCTTACTGTTCAAGATGTTGTTATTGAGTCATTTAGACCACACTGCAACTTCATTTATAAAATTTCATTATCAATAAGAATCGGACAAACATGACATTGATCAACATTCAGTGATCAATCAATGTAAATGTTTTATTCAACCAAAAGTCATTTGTAGTTCAAATACCTCAGTTGTATTTTCCGTAGTACTTTTTAGAAATGATTCTCTCTAAGAAGTTGACTAACTTTTCTCCCTCCCTCTCTCTTTTTCTCTCTCTTCATCATACATCGATTTTCTTCTTATTTGAACATGAACATGATATCAAATTACATTATGTACTCTATATGATTTATCGTTTACCGAAGTGTAACATTCCAGATTTGATCACCATAGAAACTTGTTTTTTCTCTTCTCTATGTTATATGATAAGTTTGAATGAACTAGTTCTATTTAAATTTAAGAGTTGATTTCTTATCGGGTTTGACATAGTGATTAAGTTTATATGATCAACTTTCATTATAAGTTTATGTTTATTAATTAGATAGAAACATTTGTGAAGATTGTAGTATTTAAACAGTTATCCATATCAAACAATAAATAAAGGTTTGTGCGAGATCATGGATCAATTAAAGATAAACATTAACACCGTTGAATACTGGATCAATGGTTCAGAAGTTAAGCGTTCGTGCGCGAAACCAAAGGTTCTGGGTTCGATTCCTTTTGGTGTGGGATCGTGGATGCGCACTGTTGAGGAGTCCTATATTGGGGGCGAAACGACTGTCTAGTTCTTCGAAGTTTTCAATGATGGTCTAGCTTAGATCAACTCGTGAATTCAACCGAAATTATAAATTTAAGAAAATAGTGGTGGATTACAATTGAATTGAATAAATGACATAGTATATCATTTTATAACCAGTGGATTGAATTGATACTGGTTCCATTCAATAATCGAATTGATTGTCTAACTAAGATTATTATGTGGTGAAATCGATGCAAACTCAACAATCTCCACGAAATCTGTTTACTAGTAATGATTCTGTATTTATTATTGACTAACTTCAGAATGAGATTCTAGAGTTTCTAGTGAAAGACCGTGACTATTGGAGCTTAACTATGCAAGATGTGAGATAATCATCCCTCACACACAACTGAAGATCATTGCACAATATCAAGAATTTGTTTAAGTTCAACATAAATATCATTGAATCCCGGTTTAATGGTCTAAAGACCTGTATGTCATGGTCTCGATGTTCTATGGTATCATAGATGCTCAATCTTGAGGAGTCCCATACCGAGACAAAAAATCTGTCCGGCACTTCCTGATTTTCAATGGTTGTGTAAACTAAGATCACTTCATAATGTTAACTTTAAGAAATAGTAGTATACTTAGCTGAAATTACACAGCAAATCAATCAATCAGTGTAGCAACGTCAGGAGATGCAGTCCCATGTTAGTCGGTGACCAACAATAGGTTCACACGCCATTTGTTCCCTCAGGATTCTGGAGCATATGTTCACCATTGGGTTGGAATCATAGTTTTCCAATTCCCATAGGTGGATCCTCCGTATAAACCAACCCAGTTTAAGCACCGGACATTCTCTTTTCGTTCTCTGAATTTCGTAAAAAATACCGGCGGTGCGAGATGGCAGTGAGTAGGACTTCCCTGTCAGTGATTGTATGCACGTGGCTATGTGAGAACATTTGGAGAGGGTGGATCTGATTCTCTCCATCCTCAGCTATACCAGAGCATTTGAAAAAACTGTTATATTCTGTAAAGTTCCACAAGTATTATTTTGAACAATGAAAGTGATGATGTGTAATCTGTTTAACATGGATAAAGAAATATTTTATCAAGAAGATTTAATGACTTCAATTCATGTCTTTATTGAATAGACTTTATATAATCCTTTGTAAATATTAACTTTTTCTTTTCATCTACCCAGCTAGTTAACTATCTACACAGTAGGAATTCTTTTTTTCTTCTTAATATTATGATCCATTATGTCAATCAGTTTACATCGTCTAAACAAGATTCTTTTAAAACCATATCCTATGCTTTTCTTCTTTATTTTAATATAAGAAAAAAGTTTCATACATAAACAATACAAGATTAATATGAGTTTGTCTGTCAGTAAACAACAACGTAGAGCTTCGTACGTGCATCCATCAGTTCAAGTTGCCATACCATATTGGCACAGTGATACAATCGTCGATTCAAATCCCATAGTGGTAGAGGTAGTAAGAGTATAAGCAGTAATCGGAAACATTAGGATTTGGAAATGTTATTCAAGGAGTATAATCTAGTGAAATAAATTTGGAAAGAGAAAAAAAGGGATACGAAGAATTCAGAAGATTAGAATTTGGGAGAACACAAAGAGTGGATGCACCCGTACACACTATTGCAGACGATTTTGAATCATATCACTCAAGGTCTTTAACCATCGGTTGCTATCATCTCGCGGATCTCAACCAGGTAGTTTACACCTACCAACATGACTCAGACCACTTGTCAGTGACTTCATGGGTTTGTGCCATATTTTGGTCTGGCCGCCGCTAGCTTTCTTCCAACCTACTCCTTCACCAGAAAACATCGCACGTCGAGGCAGTCGGTAGTTAGGGATACGTAACACAAGTCCCAGACATCGCAGCCTATGTAGTCTCACTACTACATCAATTGATTTGCCATCCTTACCTAATACTTGTTTCTTAACAACTGTATTACTTACTCGGTGGTCCCAGGATATACGAGCAATGTTTTGAAGACACCTATGGTCGAATACTAGTAACCTATGAATATCCTCTACTCTTACCGGTCATGTTTCACTGCCATAAAGTAGGACGGAACGAACTGGTGCACAGTAAACCCGTCCTTTGTTTGGTAGACGTCTATTTCGCCTACGCCATAAAAGACACAAGTTGGCAAAAGCTAGTTGAGCCTTCTGTATCCGTGCTGAGATTTCGTTACAGATCAGACAACAAAGGCTGGTGATTTTGTAATTTCCCATTGTTAATATTCAAGTGATCAATGTATGTTGTTGTACATGCATTCCAAATGGATGGCCTCTTCATACTCCTTAGTCCAAATTGACAGAATATTTGGTATATGGTTAGCAGGGAAATCCAGGATACATGTTTCATTCTATTTAAGACTCATCAACTAAATGCGTCTGTATCCTGAAGAAGACACATTATTAGTACTAATCTTTCTCACAAGCTATTCTGTCTGAATTATCTTAGTAGAAGTGTCTAAAGTTCCCACTTAGCCTAAAAACAAAACATAATAGATCCCTCGTTGAGTTATATAGATTGGTGGTCACATTGCAAAATTGATCGATCGAATTCGAACAACATTAAAGGAGTAATGTGAAATTGGTCCCTACTCAGTAATCATCAATGGATGAGTTTATTATTTTATAGTAAGCTTATGTATATAACAAAAAAAGAGATAAAACGTAAAAGTAAACATGATTAAACGTGATTTTAAGCATTAAAAAAAACTATTGTAAGATACAGTAGTTTATAGGTCATTTACTTGCTAATTGGCGAAATTAAAATTCCACATATCAGGCTTAATTCTTACCAACCATATAAAGAACAATTTTAATAGTTGTGATCATGAGTCAATTGAAGTTAGACCACCATCGAAAACCTGGAAGTACTGGACGGCGGTTTCGTTCTATTATGGGACTCATCAGCAGTGCTCATCCACAATCCTGCCTTGCGAGATTCAAACCCAGGATCAGGATACTAATCAACATATGCTTACTACTGACTGGCTTCATGAGTTATTTCCTGGAGTTCTAGTGAGAAGCAGTGACCATTGGAGTTCAACCGGGTGTGTTATGAAATAGTAACTTACTGAAGACAATGGTGAATTTGTCACTCAATTTCATGGATTAGTTGAAATTAAACATTAACACCGTTGGATACCGTCAAGTTCAGTAGTCTAGAGGCTAAGCGTTCGCGCTTGAGACCGATAGATCTTGGGTTGGAATCTCGCGAGGCGGGAACGTGGATGCACACTGCCGTGAAGTCCCACAATAGGATGAAACGGCCATTCATTGCTTCCAGGTTTTCCATGATGGTCTAGCTTCAAATAACTCATGAATTCAACTATTAAAATTACTATAATATCCACAAAACCCCTTGCTGATATAAAGAATACTTACTCATTTAGACCTATAGTTTTTAATGTTTATCTAACATATTATTCACATAGCTTCAATGATTTAACCTCTTTTATTTTGATTTCAATTGACTATTTAATTCTTTTAGACTATTTCATCTGAACATTTAAATTATAACCAAGTAACTAGTACAACAACAACAACAACAACAAAATCATCAATAGCAACATTCACAACAAATACAACAATGACAACACAAATGAATTCGAATGTTTATGATTTACCTGAACCAGAATGGATTACAAAACTATTGAAACAATATTATGAATATAATATAACTCATAATAAACAAAATATTCCATGTAGTTTATTTGGTAATGAGTTATATTCACCTACAACAACAACAACAACAACAACAACAAATGCTACTAATGATGGTGTTGGCGGTACTGGTACCGGTACCGGTACCAATCATAGTGCCAATAATCTTGGCTATTGTACTAATATAACAGGAATATTACCATTTGATTTTGAACAATTTTTATTTGATCAATTCGATTATGAAGAATTATGTACAGATTCAATGAATTTACCTATTCAATTTACACCAAATACATTAATGTTATTTTTAATTAGTTTAGCTAATTTCACTCCATATACACGTTTATCCGATATAGCTAAATGTGCTCAATTAACATTATATCGTTTATTAACTAGATTAGTACGTTATCAAACTGATTGTTTAGTATTACAAGCTAATTTAACTGAAATTAAATTAAATGCTGATCAAATGCAATGTCAATTAAATCAAATTGAATCAAATTATTCAATTATGAATCGAGCTATACAAATATCTGAATCTGCATTAGAAATTAGTGATTGTTTAAATCAGGTAAATATATATATATATATATATATATATATATATATATATATATATGAATTTTATTTTGTTTATTTTATTTGAACACATTGATATTGGTACAAGAAAGTACTAAATACATATACTGCCCGGGTGCTCAAACCTAAACAGGTGGTTTTCTTAGAGGGCCACACCTGAAGCCTTCGACCTGAAGGTCTAATCCACAAAGTAGTGGAGCATCGTAAGGAGATGTAGTACCATGGTAGCCGGTGACCAACGATTGGTTCATACGTCGTTTGTCCCCTCAGGATGTGATCTATTTGGGTCCAACGTTGAGACGAATTAGGGGGGTCCCCATGTGAAAAGATGTTTTTCCTTATGCTTAAAGTTAGTATTTGTAAGGAACAGGCGGTTATTTGAGCCTAGCTGCAACAGACGGTCTCCATTATCTGTTCTTTGAGCCATGACACTGTAAGATCCACCTAGGTGTCTTTCTCTTTCGCTTAGTTTACCTACTTGAGCATTAAAGTTACCGGCCACTATTACTACATCAGAGCGCCTAGCTTTTCGTAGAAGGTCGGAAAACTTTTTGTAAAACTCATCTTTCACATCATCTGCACTGCAGTCAGTGGGAGAATAGGCAGAGACGACGAAGAGGCAACGACGAGTGTCCCTATCTTTCCGAGTCCTTATTGTCGCGTTTAGTCGGACAGTGCACAAACGACTGTCTACTGGGATCCAGTCTAAGAGAGCTAGTTCTACCCTAGGACTCAATGCTGGAGCCCATGTGCACCATTGGTTTGGAATCTGGGTTTTCCAACACCCCTAGATGAACTCTCCATGTCCACCAACCCGGTTAAAGTGCCCGACGGACATTTGCTTTTCGTACTCTCAATTTCGTAAACAACACCTTCGCCATGAGAAGGCAGTGAGTAGGACTTCCCTGTCAGAGGCTATATACGCGTGTCCATATGAGAGCATTTGGAGAGGGAGAGCGGACTCTTCCCACCAAGTCATTTGGGGGCTGTATATATAAATGAATTATTTTTAAAGAGTTTTATTATTTATTGTTTACTGATGAATTATATTTGTCGATGAATTTACAAGTTAATCTACTTATGATGAAGAGAGTTTTGTCTCCCTTTTGAAAATACATTCATACAACCCTAAAATTATAGCTCATTCTAGGGGAAGTCCTTTTCATTCACTGTTCTTATATGTTGTTTTTTATCTACAAGTGTTAGGAAGCGAAAGTAGACATCTAGTGATTCAATTAGGTTCTTAGATATAAAGAGTTCACTGACGAAAATTGGAAAATCTTAATTTCAAGCCACTGATTCAATATCCATAAAGAACAATTGCCATAAGAATCTTTCGTAAAACTTACAACTGTACTTTGTGAACTTACTGCCTTAATTTTCAAACTAAACCTTTAGGTTAGTAGCTCGTAAAATGGCTTCTTATGAAAAGTATGTCTTAGTTTATGAATCCGGACCGTCTCTCAGATCTGATGAATGTGATAAAATCAATGAATTAGAAGGTAAAGTAAATGCTCACTGATGATATTATACGATGAAGGTTCTATACCATAAATCGTTCAATGCTGAAAAAACCTGCGAACGACCCTAGATTCTAGTTTAATATTAATTGAGAGAAACAGTATTTGCACCGAAACATAATAAAAGTTCTAAATTTGATTCCTTAGTGAAGTGTCATAATGTGGCACTTTATAACTATTTGTTATTTTGAACCATTCTTTAATTGAAATCAGTTTCTGATGAAAGGATGTTCTAATGTATAATTACATGCGCATATAGAATTACATTGTTTTTCAATAGGGCTCATTCATGGCCCTGCCAGGAACTGAAATGTAGGCTATCAGGACTAGTAGTGAGTATTTGACCCTTAGATTACCTAGTTTTCATCCAGTAGTTTGCATTATTAACTTTGCAGCATTATACCCTCTTTATCAATGGACATTGACGATATTGATCCAACATCTGACATGTTTGACCACTTGTAGTCATGGCTTCTCACTGGATTTCTGATAGTCATCTCACAAAATCAGTTGCTTGTAACCAAGCATGCTGATTATCTGACTACAGACAGTCAGTAATTCAATCTTACAAAATTCAACGATTTCCATAAGTCAACTAAACTGGAAAAAGAAATAATTAAATAAATCATCAGCTTAGTGATGATATTTTAACCACAAGTACACATAAATAAACATGAATTTCAACATATACAGGTATCTTTTAGCCTTCATAACTTGAAAATTATCGAACATTGATGGCCCTCTAATGGTTTGGTACGGCCGAGAATGAGGAGAGTCAGCTCTCCCTCTCCATATGCTCTCACATGGCCACGTGCATATAACCACCGACAAGGAAGTCCTACTCATTGCCTTCTCTCACCACCGGTGTTGTTTACGAGATTGAGAAAACGAAAAGCAAATGCTCGGCGCTTAAACTGGGTTGGTGGATACGGAGGATCCACCTATGGGAGTTGGAAAACTCTGATTCCAAACCAATGGTGAACATGTGCTTCAAGATCCTAAGGAAACAAATGGTGTATGGACCTAATGTTGGTCACCGGCTATCATGGGACTGCATCTCCTGATAAATGCTCCACTGTCTTGTGGATTAGATCTTTAGGTTGAAGGCTTGGGGTGTGGCCCCCTAAGAAAACCACCTTCTCCGGTTTGGGTACCCGGGCAGTATCATAGCCCACACACAAATCAAATGACTTGTGTGGCGTATATGTATTTGGTGCCTCCTTGTACCAATATCTATGTGTTTAAATAAATAAATAAATAAAGATCGAACATTGAGCGAATGTTTAGAGATGGGGTCAAAGTGACCTGGTTATTTTGGGAATATAACTTTTTATTAATAATACGATATATTATAGATTTACAATAGTTAAACAGTCTTTAAAAATCAGAAAGCTTTTGTACAACCTTCTTGTCCTTGTATGGGATTCTTCAAATGTCGTTATCCATGACCTCATCAGTAGTCGGACTCAGGATTTTCACACCCTATGGTAGATGATTAACCTTCAGACCACCAATAATATGGTTGTTTACGAATCTTTACTTTTCTTTTGAACCAAAAATAAATCTGTTTGTGTTGTTTACTTATTATTATTTGATATAGTTATATTCCACGGAATTAGCTGTCACTATATTCCGTCAATCACAAAATAATCAAATGTTGAAGCATCCATTCTCAACAATATCATCGTCTACATCATCTTCATCATTTCATGGTCATAGTAAATCATCTCAATTACATCAATCACAACATCATCAACAATTGAAAAGATATAATCATTCACAACAGATTTCTGTTACCACATCACCATATCAATTGTATTCTTCAATTGGTTCTTCGGAAGAACATGATTTATTAAATAATGCAACCAATACTACCAATAATACAACTGCTGGAGTTGGACAACAACAACAGATCTTTTCAATGAATCATTTCAATTTGCATAATTTGAAATCATTGAGGTAAGTGTTTGTGTTTCTGCTCTTGGCGAAGTTCCATACTATACTATATATATATATGAGTGAAAATGAAATTCCAACTAGTATTCATCTGAAAAGTTAATCATCCAGTCATAATAAATTTAGAGGCCAGAATAAATGTACATTGGCTCAATTTACCATACCATAATAGCATGATAAGGCGATACTATAAAGATGAATAGCAAAGAAATTGAAATAATCACGATAGCAACGATAGTGAGAAACATTGAACATTGAGAGTATAGTTTGAAAATACTGGGCGGAAAAGTATGTAAGAAGGAATACCACGGAAATCAATATTCAGAGGAAGACAATCAGTAAAACAGATCAGGGCAAATGAGATTAATTTTAAGAAGTATTACCCAACGTCTACAACTATTGGTCATGATTATTGTGTGAATCTCATCTAGGTAACCTAAACCTACCAATAAGAATCAGAACAACAGTAATAGACTTCATGTATTGATATCATATTCCATTTTGTCAGTCTCCTGGCTTTCTCTTAACTTACTCTGACACCAGCTAAAATTACCCCTTGAGGTAGGCAACTGTTTGACATACAATTCTGTTTTCATTACTAAGCAGATCTATTGTGTACAATCACCATAGGTTTATAAATGAAATAATCTAAAGCAATTGAAATGCACACACTTAAATCTATGTTATTCGTGATATAGGTTCTATACAAATTTTAATGTAATAAAAATGTGTCATATTTTTCCACCGTCCAATGCTAATTTTTCAGTAATTCATTAAAGTTACGTTTACATTAAATAGTACGTCATTTATTGAGTGTGAAGATACTCGTAATCTACTAGTATTTGACCATAGATGCCTTAGAAATATTACTTGCATCTTCTGGGATCACCGGCTAAGTAATAGTGAGGTTAGATGCAGAGTATTAGGGAATGATGGTAAAGCAGTTGATAGAATTGTGAATCTTCATCGACTGAGATGGTTCGATCACGTGTTGCGTATGCCTGAACACCCATTACCACAACGTGCAATGCTAACCGCTGTAGGGAAATGGTTGGACGAAAGTTAGGAGCAGCCAAACCAAAACGTGATATCAGTGCTTGAAGTCACTAACTTCTAATCTGAGCCATGTTGTTAAATACAAACTACTTGGTTGAGATCCGCAGGACTATCGTAGCCAATGGTTGGAGACTCTTGGTGACATGACTCAGAATCGATCACAATGGCGTCACTGTATAAACTCTCTGTCTTCCCTTAAACTAAGAGATTAAAATCGCTTCATATCTTTCTTTCTACAAGCTAATTCTTTCTTCCTGTACTATATCCTTATATACAATCTTTCTTTTATATATTACCACCATTGAATTAACTACTTCTATGAATCCGGTGTTCATCTTGTTGTGTTAATGAGGTATGGCAACTTGGACCGATGCATATATGTGCCTGGTCTCACGTTGTAGCTGACTGACTGACTGACTGACTCATCTGCACATCATCCATCAGTTGTGTCTTACAAAATTTAAAGTTCCTTCATTCCTGTTGTTATAAGGGAGACATATTAAAATGTATTATAGTCTCTCTTGATCATCCATATAGCATGGTGCATGCTACTGATATCGACAAATATAAGTAGTGTGTATCATTAATCGAAAGTGAAATACCTGGAGGTAGAAGGTTAAGAAGATCAAAGAAAAGAGAACAAGAACAAAGAAGACTTGGTGTGGAAGCGAAAGAACGATGAAGTCTGAGACGACTGATTGACATTCTGCAAAAGGAACAGTCAAGTTTGAGACAGTTGATTGACATATTGCAAATGAAGTATTTACTGTATGGTTCTCAGATTTTAGTGAAATATTCTGTAATTTCGTGAAAATATTGATTTACCGATTGAGTTGAGGCAGGTTTACATGGTATAGTAGTAGCTTAAAAGGAGGTTAAGGTTTGATAAACCAAAACTTGACATCAGTCTATAAATTTATTGACTATTTGTTTGAATATGGTTACTGGTTAGCGTTTTTTTAGCGAGTTGGTTTTCTACGGGATGCGGTCACTAACCCCATGCCCAAACCTCATCCTTTATCCGGGGTTGAGACCGGCTGTAGCCTCAGAGGGGCTCCAGGAGGAGTTTTGAATATGATTATTAGATACAAAATAACTGATTGGCTTCCGATTAATTATAATGATCAATGATTGGATATGTTTTAGTGAACTTGTTAATTTCATCTCATTATGTTAATGTGGTAAGCGAATTTAGGCTAACACACATATATAGTACAATCTACTTTGATTATGCTTGAATTCGACGAACTGATTTATACGATGAGAAAAAAAGTTATATCAATTAGTTTGTTGATATAAATTTATAAATGAATGTATTTTCGAGTAGGGTCGTCGTCGTTGTCATGTTTTGGGGATTAATAAATCATCACTTATACCAGTGTTTGTGTTCTTACTTTTGCGTCATGGGAATTGCAGAGGTCCCTCTTTTGAAATGTAAATGATAAGCGTCTCCGACATAACAATCAGCGATGACCAGATATAACAAATAGCGTTCAATCCAGAAGACATATCAAAATTTTACAGTACTTCAGGAAATTTTGTAATCATTGTACATTGAATCTTTCTTTATAGATTGTATTCATCATAGATTAATTTCTATTAAAAATCAGGATCTGACCTGTGATAGTGTTTTCATCGCATACTACTCATTAAGAGTCTCATATTAGGATGAAACAGCTGTTCAGGCATTTTTGACTTTCAATGATATTTCAAACGAGATCAGTCTGTGATAAATACAGCAAGACTCTAATTTATGAACGAACTTTGAACGAATCTTAAGTGACCTTGACGAATATTAGTCAATCAGCAAACAGTCAGTATAGAGTAAAAATATATTATACAAAACCAAAGAAATAAAGTGGATACATTTCTTATACATGGTTCAAAAACTTGTCAAGGTTAGAATAAAGGTACAGAGGTTCTAAAATCGTAATGAATACAGTAGAGGAAATCATCCATATGGCTACATATTAGTCGACCTCTGGAGCCATGATAAAGTCGCAAAAACTCTTTCACCCTCGACCACATAACTTCAATATTGTTTATGTGCACTCCGGTTGTTGGGTCCAAAAAGTGCCGCTTATGGATAACGACACGATGCACATAACCAAGTCTATGTAGGCATCTTTACTCTCTTCAAATCATTCGTATATATTGTAGTACCCGGCTACAGCCAGTGTTACTGGTGCTTTTATTATCGAACAATTGTCATGATTTGACTTAATGTCAATCTGGATCATGCGAAAAAATTTTATTCTAGCAGACTTCTTCCTCCAAAACATATTACATCGAAAGACAACATCATCATTTAATTACCAGAATCAAAAATAAAGGAACATCTTAGTAACCCGACGTTGTCTCAAAATCCACTGTGAACCAGTTGTACATGAGCATCAGATACTGAAATTGGCGCTATGACTTTGAAATCCCTAGAACGCTTCTGATTGTCTCGTCCATAAATTATAGTCTCACCATAAATACCACCTATAAATCAAAATAATCTTTTTGATTGAGATCATGAACCGATTGATGTTAGACCATCATTGAAAACCTGGAAGCACTGGACGGCCGTTTCGTCCTATTATTATCGTGACCAGTGGAGCTAATCCGTGTCGGGTAGAAACAGGGTGTCTACCTCAGTACAATGGAAGATGGTCGCGCAACTTCGTGGATTGGTTAAGGTTAGACATTAACACCATTGGATGCCGGCTCAGTGGTCCAGTATGTTAAGTGTTCATGCGCAAAACTGAAGGTCATGTGTTCAAATCCCTCCAGCGGGATCGTGGATGCGCACTACTGAGGAGTCCCACAATGGGACAAAACGGCCGTCCAATGCTTCCAGGTTTTCAATAGTGGTCTAACCTCAATCGATTCATGATTTCAATCAAAAACTTCACAATCTCCACAACTCCTAAACTGAAAATTAATCTTTACTAAATCTTTTCAATTATAAACTTAATTTGTAATTTGTAATTATCTTTTTTAGACAACAAGTTGAATTTCTAGCTTATACCATATTAGATAAATATGAAACATCAGATGGTGGTTATGAAAAAATTCTCCCAACATCATTATCTAATTTAACAAATATCAATATGACAACAACTTCAGTTAATGGTAATGTATCTACTGTAAATAGTACTAATTTATCTCAATTACATTGTTATCAACATATTCAACATTCTTCTCAATCACCTATAAGTCCTGGTCTTTGTTCTATGCAATCTGTGATTACATCATCTAATAGTTTATTAGATAATAGTAATACTACTAATAACAATAATAATAGTAATAGTGTTTATGCCAATTCATGGTATGTTAGTTTAAATCGAAACAAATTAAATACGATACAATGTTTACCAAATGAAATGAATGAACATTTACATGGACAACAATCATTAATGAATCCTAATCAATTACCTTCTATATCATTGAATTCAACAATTGGTTCCAATCCATCAATAACTTATCATCAACGACAATATAATCATGTACGATTAAATAATAATTTACAATTAATGAATCCTCAATTACGTTCATTTATGAAATCAAATTGTCAAGGAAATACAAATCAAAATATAAATGAAAATGGTTTAAATGGAAGTGGTGATGGTTTTGGTTGGGAAACTCCAGATTCCGGTGCTGGAAGTAGTAGTATCAATGAAATATCATCACAACATCATCCTCAACAACACCAACGACAACAATCTGGTTATTTATTGAATCCATCATCATTATTCTTATCTTCTTCAACATCTTCTTTATTATTTGGACATTATTATCAAACTTATGGTGAAATCATTCAAAACAATACCACTAATAAAGTAAATAATCAATCAGATTTATTCATATTCAATACATTATTAGATAATCTTCCACCATTATGGACATTATTTACAAAAACATCAACATCTTTTTATGAATCCGATTTAGATTCATCAGATTCATCTGATATACCAGGAAATATTATTAAAACTACTGATTTATCAAAACATAGTACCCATCCTCCTCCTCCTCTTCCTCCACATCATCACCATCAGCAACAACAACATCATAGTAGTATGAATGGTCAGTTAATATCTCAACTACCTCCTATTTCATCATCACAACAATTATCTAATTGGTCTAGATTAGAAGAACGTAAACTACGTACAATTTATTATCAATTAATTCATACATATAAACGTTTACAATCCATGTTAATTGATATGCCTAATACATATCAATTGGTTATACCAAATGATAGAAATGAAATTGGAGAGAAGACAAAAACTACAAATGATGTCATTGATCATGATCAAAATATATCAACAACAAGATTTGTATCAGTTGGTTCAACACAGCAACCGATGAATTTGGATCAACAAAATGTAAGTGAATAAGGTTTTTTTTGGATATTATAGTAGTTTCAATAGTTGAGATCATGAGTCAATTGAAACTAGACCACTATGGAAAACCTGGAAGCACTGAATGGCCGTTTCATCCTATTGTGGGACACCTCATCAGTGAGAATGTAAAATACTACTTAAGGAAATGACAAATAGTGTTAAGTGTCTTAGCCATTTCATTTATTTGTGATAGATAATGAATAGTTGGTAGTAGGCCACCAAGTGACCCCGGTACGGCTGACGGTATGGAAAGTTAGCTCTTCCTTTAGAAATACTCTCATATGTCCATACATATACAGCCACTGATAGAGAAGTCCGAATCACTGCCATCTCGCACCACGGTTCTTGTTGACGAAATTGATAGGATGAAGAGCGAATATCCGGCTCTTTAACCGGGTTGGAGGACACGGAGGATCTACCTAGATGAGTTGGGAAACCCTGATTCCAAACCAATGGTGCACATCGGCTCCAGTATCCTGAAGGAACAAATGGTGTACGAACCCAAAGTTGGTCACTGGCTACTATAGGACTGCATCTCCTAACGTTCACCCACTGCCTTGTAGATCAGACCATTAAGTCAAAGGCTCTGGGTGTGGTCTCCTAAGAAAACCACCTGCTTCGGTTCGGGCACCCAGACAGTATCACAACCCTCATACAAATCAAGTGACTTGTGTGGCGCATATGTATTCGGTGCCGCTTTGTACCAATATTTTTGTGTTCAAACACTCCCCACTCCGGCCGTATCAAGACTTTGGGCAGCTCTTTAAGGAATAAATGACGATTGCATAATCTGACGAATCGACTAAACGTTGGAAGTGCAAATCCTTGGATACTAACTTAATGGTTTGAAGGTAACGCGATTAATGTGAGGCCTATAAGCCCTGGGTTCAAATTTAGGATAGGATTAACCATTTGTTTAAAGTACCCATTTACCAAGTACAAATTTACGCACTTAATCTTCTAACACATTGTTTATATGATGGCTATTGATAATACTAGTCCCTTAAAAATGAATTAGATGGAAAGTGACTTGAATCTACCACCTAGTAGTTGAAAATCGAGCCATCACATTCAACACACTACTTTGGATTTTCATTTTATGGCGAAACTATTGTCCAGTTCTCCCGCATTCCCAACGTCTTTTTCTTGTAATTTTAACAGTGAAGTTCACCAGTCGATCCAAGCTAGACCACTGTTGAAAACCTGTGAGCACTGAACGGTCGTTTCATCCTAGTATAGGACTCTTTAACAGTGCACATCCACTACTCGAGTCCAGGACCTTCGGCTTCACGAGCGAACGCTTAACCTCTAAACCACTGATCCGACGTCCAACGGTGTTAATGTCTAACTTTAATCGACTCATCATCTTATGTCTGATATAGAGTATAAATTTAAGGTGCATGATTATAAAATGATTTTATGTAAACTGTGTAATCATACAATGGTCTTGAATGTTGTTAAAGGCATGAGGGCGGTTATCACTTCCTGGTCGCTCACACCTCGGAAGGGTTCTTCTGGAGGTACCTGGAAAGGAAATTGGATTAGAGATGGTTTTAGTGACCTGAGAGCGTGACCACAGTGCCCAAGGGACAAGTGCTTGAGGTCGGTCACACACGACCTTTTTGTGAGTAGTTTTCGTGTTGGCTCCATACCTGTTGAAACCTTTCCGCCGGAGACGGATATCCGTGGGATAAGGCGAGGTGTACATTTTTAGGTCGACATTCTCTAACCCAACCCTTCTTGTCGGAAGGCATCATCGCTGTTATGCTGGTTGTTTGAAGGAAACACCTTACTGCCACCACATCTCTGTACAGTCAGCAGTACGACTTTACTTTCGGACCTTGGGTTTGTTGTTTTTAGTCTTTCCGCTCTTCAACCGACCTATCTGACATGGTAGAACCTTGAGGAAGGTATGTTCCATCCAGTATAGCTCATTTGCTTCATCACGATAGACAAGCCCAACTACCAGTCAAGGTAGCAACAACGATGTGAATGCAATTGTTACAACATTCTATTGTAATATCTTTCGATTAACTTTCCTATTTTCTACATAGAAATTAAATTCTATTTTCATTTATTTTTATATTAATTAACTATTTTCAAATGTAATAACTTTATATTGTATAATGTATACACAATAAATCATCTTGGCGCTTTCAATTATTCCTTATCTAACTTTACACATGTACATTATAACATAAACAATGAATAGGCAACTATAGATTACTATTGATTCTCTATGATAATATTTACTTTTAATATGATTGTATTAATAGTTTATACAGGGGAGCAGGCAGGTGGTTACAGTCATATTGCTATATGTAGAAATATACATAGAGATACCTATAATACACTAGTACACAACACAATTGTATACTTATAACATGAAACTTGAATGAACAGCAGGTGGTTCTCTTTATTCTATTTTAAGTTTCTAATCCCTATTACTAAGTGAAATGTATTTCAACTGTTTTCATCTTCACATCTATACACATACAATAACATATGTAAATGAAGCCGGTAGCAACATGATTATTCGTTCTTTGCCTATACTACTAATAATATACTATCTTTGTTCATTCATAGTAAATATATATAATGTACATTAGTAATGAAAATATACATTAAGGATCTTTTCTTTTTTCTTCATAAATTCTTAACCTTTATCAACAAGTGTATGAATAATGAACAAATAGGTCTGACATCACTTCAGGTCAAGGTTGTTTGTATTTATCAAACTGATTTATGAAACATGTGTGTGTGTGTGTGTGTGTCTATGTAAACTTTTTCTAAGGGTAAACAATATAAACGGAGTGAATGTAATCAGAAAAAGAACACAAGCTATCGGCTGGTTAAAAAAAAATAATTTAAATAGTTGAAATCATAAGTCAATTGAAGCTAGACCACAATGGAAAACCTGAAAGCACTGAACGACCGTTTCTTCCTGGTATGGGACTCATCAGCAGTGTGCATCCACGATCCCACCTCGCAAGATTAGTCTCGCACGCGAGCGCTTAACCATTAGACCACTGAGCCGGCATCGAACAATGTTAATGTGTAACTTCAACCAATCCACGTAACTGTGCCACCATCACTATTGTCTTCATTGAGTTGATATCTCACAACAGACTTGGTTGAACTCCACTGGTCACAGCTTCCCACTAGAACTCCAGGAGTGTCTCTTGAAGTCAGTCACTAGTGAACAGATGATTATTATCAGAATGGGCGGAGATACCAGTTTTTCCATAGTGGTCTAGCTTCAATTGACTCATGATTTCAACTATTTAAATTAATAAATTCTCCACAAAACCCCTTCTGATAAAAAAAATATAACACAACTAATAAATTTAAATGCTTTAAGCCAATGGCCTTTTCTATGCAAAGAAATTAGTAAACTGATGTTAGTACTTGACAACAGTTTCACCCTCCTATATAGGTATAGACTAAGATATATCCTGAACTCTCAGGATGAAGTAAATGGGTTTTTTTTAAAGATGAAATCCTCTAAAGTTCTAATCCACAAGACAGTGAAGTGATAGTCGGTAACTTAAACAGATTCATGCATCACCCATTTCTATAGGGTCATGGAGTTCTGTACAACAATAGTTTTCTAATTCTTCTAATTGGTTCCTTTGTATTCACAAATGGAGTATCAGAACTGGTAGCTCACTTTTCATCCATTCAATTTCGAAAATATATCTCAGCTTGAAAGCAATGAGTAGAATTTCACTAGAATATAGTTTCTAACTGGAACATCTGAGAAATTCATCATTAATTATAAGATGATAACTTTCGTGATAAAATGATACTACTTAAATCTATCAATATAATCGTTGTTGAATAGTTTTAAACTAAGATAAAACTGACATTCGATGCATTTTAGCTTTCAATGTTTTCTTCAATCGAAGTTAATTTATGAAATAAACTTACTTCAAATGGAATAAAATCTCAATTCTTTATGCAAATAATAATTCAACATCTTTTATAGAATCAATCGTTTATGACTAGTATTAAAATCTAAGACTCTCTTTTCACTCTATTGGAGATTTCTCAGCAAGATATATGTTGGGATATTCAGGGAAATACCCAAAAAAATTATCCTGTTAAGCCTAATGCTATCCTTGGACATGGAATGGTATCATCTTATTGGTTAATATTTATTTGACGTGTTATTTTCTTGTTGGCCATTATTGTACAATGTTATTTTCTATTTTATGGTACGTTGTGGACTGCTTGACTGGTATATAAACAAAGTATGTTTGAAATATAATGATTCATATATCCGAGGCTGAAACTTGTGTTCTGGACTCAACTGGCTGGGTTAGACAGGGAAGCGAGACCAATCAGAACCCTAGGTCGTTCTACGTGTTTGTGCGTCTTTGGTCCGATCAATAATTCGCTATCCCTTAATCCGCAGCAAATTATTGTCACAGTTATAACAATATATTTGGACAATTTACTGATTTGAACACATAAATATTGTTACAAAAGGGCACCGAATACATATGTTCCATACAAGTCACTTGATTTGTATGTGGGCTGTAATACTTCCCGGGTGCCCAAACCGAAGCAAGCGGTTTTCTTAAGAGGACACACCCCGAGCCTTTGACCCCAAGGTCTGATCCACAAGGGAGTGGAGGAACGTCAGGAGATGCAGTTCTATGGTAGCAGGTCAACAATAATGTGTTCATATGCTATTTGTTTCCTTAGGATCCTGGAGCCCATGTGTACCGTTGGTTTAGAATGAGAGTTTTCCGACTCATCTAGGTAGATCATCCGTGTCCGCTAATCCGGTTGTGGTGCTTGCTACTTATATTGACATAAGTAGTGCATAACGCGAGTCAGGAATGTAATGTCTGGCAGCAGAAGATTGGGAAGATCAAGAAAGGAAGAACGGGAATAAAAAGCAATTAGTATAGAAATCCAAGAACAATGAAGTCTGAGGCAATTATTGAACATTTTGCAAATGAGGTATTATAATATAGTTTTTCTATTTTACCAAGTAACTGTAATGTTCCAGTTATCCTCACCTGTGTTCTCCTTCACTACATTTGGTGTCGCTGGCTCCACTAAGGATGGAGATTCCATGGCCGGAGGACTACGAGGACGGAGATGTGGTGGGCATCCTGAAGGAGTTTGAGGCCGTGGCGAAGCTGGTAGGAGTGAAGGAGCCGAAGGCGAAGATGGTGGTGCTGGGGACGTTGTTAAGAGGCAGGGCAAAGGCTGTGTATGACAGCTTGGACGTTGCTGGCGGAAAGATGACATGAGGGACAGTCACGCAGCGGTTGGTGGCGAAGCTCGACAGCCCAGCGGACAGGGAGGAGGCACTACAGAAGTTCCGGTTGTCGGGGTTGTCGGTCGGTGGTGACCCCCCGGTGCTGGCGGTGGAGCTTACCAGGTTGTTGCGCCGTGCGCTGCCGAATCTGGATGAAGTGTCGGATATTCGCTTTTCATCCTCTCGATTTCGTAAACAACACTGGTGTTGCGAGAGGGCTGTGAGTCGGACTTCCCTGTTAGTGGTTGTATACACGAGGCCATGTGAGGGCATTTGGAGAGGGAGAGCGGACTCTCCCCACTCTCGGACGTACCAGGCCATTTGGGGGCATCCGGTGTTGATGTCCACAACAGGGCTCGAACTCAATGCTTTTCACTTCATTCCTGAACATCATCGGCAACAGCATAATTAACCAATATATTCTCTTGTATCTAGCTGATAAAGTTTGATTATATCAATGAAAGGATATTTTAATTAAAAAAGATAATTGACGAATACTTGTTTTCATTTCATCATAATTGACAGATATGAATAATTCCATTTCATTTATTTAATATGGTTTTATAATCATGGATGGATAGTAGCTAGTAGTGGAATCCCGTTTGACGCGCTTTTCATCCTATTTGGGACTCGTCAGCTGGATGCATCTGCATCTCAGAGTTGATGATCACTTCGAGACTCGAAACCAGTACCGTTCGCTTTAAACGCTATCGCGTTATCCGTGAAATTATTATGGTTTTTTAATGCAAATGTTAGTTGATATACAGACCCTTTCTATTTTAGTTACACCTTTTATTAATATTATTTGACCATGGATACTATTATGTCAGACTAGTTAGAGTAGAGTAGATATTTGTGAAATTTGTATCAATAATTAACTATCATTCTCAATCAAATATTAGTTATATAATATACCCTTGTGGGCCACGGTAATTATACATTGGTTTTCAGGAGAACCAGACACCATCCAGACTTTCACGTGACAACCCAAACATTACAGCTCAGTCCCGTTTCACAGGAGAGCCAGACACCTCCCAGGCCTAAATTTTATAACGCGAGCAGTACAGCTCAATCCCGCTTCACAGGAGAACCAGACACAGTATAGGCTTTAACGCTACAACCTGAATAGTACAGCTTAATTCTCTGGCGCAACCATCCAGATACCAAGCACCCTGGTGGACCATTCACACCATTCATATACACGTTCACATCGTATGTATAGTTATTCCGATCAATAATCGCGTTAATCAATTATACACATCACGAACAGGCCAAATTTGACCTATTCCGCTTACACGACAGTCAAACTCAATAATGTTAGCAATGGCAACATGCCTTACAATGTCCGAATGACAATGGCCCTTGAAAACACTGAAAAGCAACTACCAGTATGAACGAAATCGGTTAACCAGCAAATCAATTTTTTACATGAACAGTTAGCAAATCTTGTCAAATCAATGCCGAACCATCCACAATACCAATGGCGAATCTCCGGCCTCATATGAGACCTTCAGCTCTACATAGCCATATAGCTTATACCGCATACAACACATATGTAGGGTAGTAAACAAAATAGCTCAGCCTGAAGCGTTAAGGCTTGAAGAACGCTTAAAACCCATTGTCTGGTATCGTAATGCTATAACTAGACCACCAAGATCATTTTTATCGCATTTGCGAAATTTTCATTTTTCCGACTTTTCAGACTCTGAATTAGGGGTAGTAGATAAATGTATAAAACTCTAGAGTTTCATAATTTTCAATTTAATTTATTTGAATAGGTATGGTCTATATTTTGTCAGTTAATTGAAATTAGTTTGGAAAATATCCTAAATCTAAGATTTATGTTATGTGATAATTGTTAATAAACCAAACCTATAATTTTTGGCAGACTAATACCCAGTGTAGGATTTGAGTTAGATATTATTCAATGGAGATGTTACCACTTAGTTACTCAAGGTCACGAATAACTTCTTGAAGGACTGAAACATTGACTGTTAATTTTTAATGAATTCGTTGAAACATGAAAAGTTAATGCACACAGAGAGACAAACAGAAAGTAGGACAAGGACTGTGGTATAATATTGTGACTAATCACAGTTGCATTGACCGACCTCAATCAGTTGTCCTTTGAGCACTTCGGTCACGCGATTAGGTCACTAAAGCCTACTCCAACCTAATTGCTCTTTCAAGTGCTCCGAGAACCCCCCCCCACGATGTGGACAACCTCTAACAGCACTCAAGATCACTAAAAACACTAAAAGTCAAGTTAGAGATTATGGCAAACTATTTTCGGAATTGTCACCTTCAATCAATGTTAGTCAGAGTTGCCTATTATCTACATTTCTACTTGATATCGTCATAGATATAATCTTAGAAGTCACAGATTATTTATCTAACTTTTCAAGTTTTGATCTTCTTCATGAAAGATCATTTGTCGCAAATGATACAATCCTATTTGATAAATATTCTGACAAAATACAGTGTCTACTGAACGCTTTGATGAATAATACAAATATGTTGAGGACGAGTTTTCCTCCCACTAAATTAAAAATGTTGTTTCAGGATTACCGTACATCATTGCCTAGATTGACATAGATTTTTACATTGTTGAATACGTAGTTTACTTTACCTATCTTTTAATTCTCATCAATCTTAATGAACCGGTGTCTAAATCAATCTTGACATAGATTCAGAATGGTCATTTGTTTTTTTGTTAACTTCCATTATCTATATCATTTTTGAAATATTTATCTGTTAACCAAGAGGGTTAATTAGTATACTACTCATAAGTCCTTTTTATGTTACTCTTTCACTATGAAATATGTTCTGTGAAAGTAGAAGATATAAGTAGGTTAAAGCTATGTGAAGTTAGACATTAACACTGTTGGTCTAGAGATTAAGTGTTCGAACGCGAGACCGATAGATCCTGAGTTCAAATGTCATGAGGTGGGATCGTGGATGCACACTGTTGAAGAGTCCTACAATAGGGCGAAACGACCGTTCTGTACTTCCAGCTTTTCCATGATGGTCTAGCTTCAATTGACTCATGATCTCTACAATTAAAAGTATTTAATCATAGGACTTAATGCATTATAATATGTACCAGACTCTACTTTATTCTTGACTGATTCAATAGATTAAATAAACATGATTTTGACTACTACTACTACCATTATTATTCATCGATTAATCAATTTACAATAATAATCAATTACCTTAGTGATTATCTTAAACAGATTATCTTTTTGTCTGTTTTTTTTTTGTTTACTTCCAAAAAATCGATTTTATGCTTGCTCCCTTTTATTGATTTTCTGTCTATATTTCCTTTTTCTATTCTGTTTTACTATATTTCTTTTCTCTCTCTCTCTCTCCTCCTTCGTATTACCATTGTCCTCAAATAGTTGATTACAATGAATTCGTTACGTAAATTACCATTGGCTGTATTTTTGGAAAATTCAGTTCTATTACAAGTAAGTAGTATGTATTGTATTGTTCATTTGTTTTCTTCTCTTTTCTAGCAATCATTTATCCTTTTAGTTAGATTTTGAGAGAAATTTGATTAATTCTAAACTTTAGTAGTTGAATTCATAAGTTAATTGAAGCTAGACCATCATGGAAGTACTGGAAGACTGTTTTGTCCTAGCATGGGACTCTTCAGCAATGCTCATCCACGATTCCACCTCGCGAAATACGTACCCAGGACCTATCAGTCTCGTGTGCGAATGCTTAACCTCTAAACCACTGAACTTGTTGGCATCCAACGATGTTACTGTCCAATTTCAATTAATCCACGAAATTGAGCAACACATCTATCATTGTCTTCAATGAGTTACTATCTCATAACAGACCCAGTTGAACTCCACTGGGTATTGCTTCACACTAGAACTCTTGACTTTTAGACCATTGAAATTGATGGCACCTAACGGTGTTGATATCTAACTTCAATCTATCCACAAAACTGCGCCACTGTTCACGAAATGGCTGTTCAGTGCTCCCAGGTTCTCCATGGTGGTCTAGCTTCAATTGGTTCATGAATTCAACTATTAAATTATTACAATATCCACAAAACCCTTCTCTTGTATAACTATTTATTTATAACTGACATTACATTGTACCTTTGTACCAGTGGTAACGATTCTAACCAGATGAAAATGTAGCTAATTTACATTTTATTTGAATGGAACAAAGATTGAATATACATTGACATTATTGTTCTACACTTATTACAGTCTATTGATAAAGACTACTTGTTAAGTCTAATAAATTTAAAGTTATAAATTGTGAGACAGAAAAATATTGCTTTATGCTAAAATGCTTCGACAATTTACGAATATTATCATAAATAGTAATAGTGTGATGTGTACTACTGATGTCAACAGGTATAAGTAGTATGTATCATCAATCGAAAATGAAATGTCTGGAGGTAGAAGGTTAAGAAGATCGAAGAAAAGAGAACGAGAACAAAGAATGATTGATTTGGAAATGAAGGAACAAAGAAGTCTGAGACGATTGTTGGTCATTTTGCAAATGAAGTATTCACTGTATAGTTCTCAGATTTGACTAAGAGATTCTGTAATTTTGTATTCAAATACATTCGACTGTCCTCACTTGTTTTATCGTTCACTACAATAGTAGTAGTGTGATGTATCCTGCTTATGTTTACAGATCTAAGTGGTATGTAACACAAATGTCTAGCGGCAGAAGAATGAGAAGGCCGAATTGAAGAGAACAGGAATGTAAACAAACAGTAATTGTAATAACAACAGGAATGAAGGAACTTTAAATTTTGTAAGACACAACTGATGGATGATGTGCAAATGAGTCAGTCAGTCAGCTACAACGTGAGACCAGGCACATATATGCATCGGTCCAAGTTGCCATACCTCATTAACACAACAAGATGAACACCGGATTCATAGAAGTAGTTAATTCAATGGTGGTAATATATAAACGAAAGATTGCATATAATGATATAATACGGGAAGAAAGAATTAGCTTGTAGAAAGAAAGATATGAAGCGATTTTAATCTCATAGTTTAAGGGAAGACAGAGAGTGTACACACCTACACCATTGTGATCGATTCTGAGTCATGTCACCCAGAGCCTGCAACCATTGGTTACGATAGTTTATAGTAACTTAGTAAAGTGTTCAGTCACTACTCTTTAATGTGTTTATTATATATTCTTGTTTAATAATCACCTCATTAGCTGATATCTGTTGTTACATACTATCCATTATTCAGTGTTTACAAACTTATCTTAATCATGTTTACAATGGTAGTGATAAATGATCCATGAATCTGTCAGTACGTGAGAAATACCCGTTACTTAAGTAATGAGTTGTAATAAATGTTTTCATCATAACAACAATACATTATACTCAGAAGTTGGGACTAAACTCATACATGGGTTATACACATTGAATAATAAATATGTAACTTAATATTTTCGATGATATTATAGTTCCAGTGTTAGGTTATTAGAATTAGTCATCAGAAAATCGTAGTTACCTTAGGTTTCACGATGTCTGGCACTTGGAAATCTTAAGGAAACTAATGCTCCCTGTTGGATTCGGAATCTCACTACTCATTCACAGTCACAGACGTTAATATTAAGCTTTTTTTTAGCTACAAATAACCTGTACCACTAATATATTCATAACTATCGGCCATTGAGGATAAACCTATGTCATGTTTGTCTAGTTTCTATCGTTGATCCGATTTTATTGACATGAGTATAAGTCCCTTTAGGACTGTAGGTACGCCTAGCTGATGAATATCAACTAGCACGAAACCTAGATCCGAGATTTCTTACTAATTAACTCCAAAACAAACTGCACTGTACCGTCGAGTTAATTAGACTAGTGGCCAAATTACAATTTAATCGAGTAGATAAATATTACAATGGTCACTACTCAATGATCGATCAATGATACTACAGTATGGTACTTATGCTTCCTGTAATATAATCTTAAGATTTTGACAAGCTGATGACACATAACTCATAATCCATTATAAACAATCTGTGTATAATTTATATCAATTTGGATTTTATATGAGTGTATATTGGTACTTTTTTTATGTCTCTTGCATCAGACATTCAAAATGTTTCACTCGTAGTGTTTTCATCTTGACAATATTAAGTTACTGAAGGAATTCAGCAAGAAGAAGCTTTGAACACTGTCCTAATACCATTTGGATTTTTATCTATAGGTAGATGTCATTGAAATCTTGAATCGATCAATGTTAGATCACCACTGAAAACCTGGACACTTATCGTGCGCTCATTGGTTACTAGCTTTGCGAGATAATTCTCGAAGTTCAAATGAGAAGCCGTCACTAGTGGGACTAAACAATTTCAAGTGTGAAGTAGTTGCCCAACGAGGACAATAGAAGATGATCGCGCGATATTGTCGATTGGTTGAAGTTAGGCATAAATACTGTTGGATCCCGGCTCAGTGATCTAGATATTAGGCATTCGCACGCGAAACCGAAGGTTTTGAGTTCGATTTCCATGAACGGTATGGTGGATACTCACTTCTGAGGAGTCCCGTACTAATACGAAATGACTATCCAGTGCTTCCAGGTTTCGAATGATGGTCTAGCATTGATCACTTCATGATTTCAATGAAAGGGCAGTTATCACTTTCCAGTTGCCCACACCATGGAAGGGTTCTTCTGGAGGTACCTGAAAAGGAAATTGGACTAGAGGATGGTCTTATTTATCTGAGAATGCGACCGAAGTGCTCAAAGTACAACTGCTTGAGGTCGGTCACACACACCCTTTTTGTAAGTAATTTTCGTGTTATCTCCGTACTTATTGAAACCTTTCCGCCGGAGATTGATATCCGTGGGATAAGGTGATATGTGCATTTTTAGAGTCCACCTTTTCTGACCTCACCCTCCCTTTGTGAGAAGGCAGCATCGCTGTTATGCTGGTTATCTGAGGGAAACATCTAACCACCATCACACCTCTGTACAGCCAGTAGTACAACTTCGCCTTCGGACCTTGGGTTTGTTGCTTTTAGTCTTAGCGCCCTTCAGCCGACTTGTCTGGAATAGTAAGACTTAGGAGAACAATTGATCCAGTCAGTATAACTCGATTGATTCATCACAATAGACAAGCTCGATCACCATATCAACTTAGCAACAACGGTCGGATATCCATTATTTCATATATTTAAAATTGTTTTCATTTTATAATGAAATAATATTGATTAATTTGTTTATTTATTTAGGAATTATGTTGTATTAAAGAAGAATGTGCTGATCTTAAAATTCGTGTATATTTACTTGAAAAAGAATTACGTGCTAATCGTTTAACATTAGATAGTCGTACTGTTGCTGAACGTGCATTACGTGCTCATCTTGATGCATTAATTATTGAACAAAATAATCAATATTCAATATTAAATGATAATAAGTTAAAATTATCACAAACAACAACAATGGCGACGTCGTCGACGACGACGACGACAACAGCAACAACAACAACAACATCAGGAACAGGAATAACAACAACATTAACCAATCAATCTATACAGAATATTAATCAAAATGAAATAGTTTTATTAAGAGGTCAAGTCAAGGTAAACTATATATATACTGAATTAATAATTTACATTCAATTATGATTACTAAATTTTATTGAAATTATGTAATGATCAATGTTAGAGAATCATTGAAAACCTGAAAACATTGGATAGACATTTCGTATTAGTACAAGACTCCTCAGAAGTGACTTACTTACTTACTTAGGTTTTTTTTTACCCCGAGGGAGTATTCTCAAATCCACTCTGTCCGTAGCCTCCTTTTCTAGTTCTATACAATTGTTGTTCATCCTTCTCATATCTGTCTTCATTTCTAGGTGGAATGTGTTCTTTGATTTTCATCTTCTCCTTTGGCCTTGAGAGGTCCAGATGATGAGAGCTTGCTTTGTGACGCAGTTCGGTGCTTTCCTCAATGTGTGTCACATCCATTTCCAGCACTTCTTCCTGATTTCTCCCACCACTGGAATGTGGTTTGTTCTCTCTCACAGTAGTGTAGTGTCTGGTCAACGGAGACAACTGTCAAAGAACACTTGTATGTTGTGGATGATGGCTTTCGTAGTTATCCATGTTACAGTAGAACTGTCTTGAAATTTTCATTGAAAATTCTGACTTTCGTGTTGTTTGACAGACAGTTGTTTCGACTTCCAGATATTTTTCAATTGTATATATGCTACTCTTGCTTTGCCGATCCACAGCTTAACATGTGTATCAGATCCACCGTGTTCATCAATGATGCTGCCCAGATACGTTAAGGATTTTGCATCTTCCAAATCTCCGTCAAGTGTGATTTGATTGGTGTATGTTGTGTTGTATTGGAGGATCTTGCTTTTTCCTTTGTGTATGTTGAGACCTACTGCCGCTACACTGGTCGTCTTTTCCTACATTTGTTGTTGCGTGTGCACTAGAAGAACTGGATCATCTGAGAAGTATAGGTCGGCTAGCTGCATGCTAGCCGTTCACTGTATCCCATGCTTCCCCGCAGATGTTGACGCCTTCATAATTCAGTCGATCATCAGAAGCAGTGAACATCCACCATACCGCACATGAAAATTGAAATCAACACCTTGAGTTTAGCATGCGAATACCTAATCTCTAGACCACTGAGTCGGGATGCAACAGTGTTTATATTTAACTTTAACCAATCGACAATGTCGCGTGGTCATCTTCTATTGTCGTCATTGGGCAACTACCTCACTCTGGACATTGTTTATCCCTACTAGTGATGGCCTCTAAATACATTTTTGAGAATTTTTGTCGAACCTAGTCACTTGTGAACACATGATGGATGCACACTGTTGAAGAGGTCTATACTAAGACGAAACGACAATTCAATATTTCTAGGTTTTCTGCGGTATTTTCATATTGATCGATTATTGATTTCAATAAAAATCAATATATAGAATAAACGTTCATCTACTTGGTTTATCATAATTATATTGAATGCAAATTAACGTGATCTTTCCAGTTGTTACACATTCTCTTGATATCTGCTTTCTATTCCCAACCTATTATGCTTCTCGGTCTTCCTCCTTTCTGTTCCCTTCCAGGATTTCAGGCAAGCGCTTAAGTCGTGGTGCAGTTTGATGATTTCCATAATGTATGTCCTATCCACTTCTAATGTCTTTTCCTAATTTCTTCTTCAGCTCAAAGCTAGTTTATTCTCTCCCACCGTAGTCTATTGCTGATGGTGTCCGATCAACAGACATTGAGTATTTTGAGTAGAGAATTTTTTATAATTACTTGTACTATTTTGATGATGATTGTGGTAGTTCTCTAAGATTCAGCTCCGTACAGTAGAATTAACCGTCTTGAGGTTTGTATTGAAGATTATGAATTTGATATTGGTTGAGAGTTGTGTTTTGAGTTCCATATGTTATTTAACTGTATGAATGTTCCTTTTGCTTTGCCAATCCTTGCCTTTACATCTACATGAGATCCTCCTTGTTTATCGATGATGCTACTCAGGTACTTGAAAGTTTTCACCTCTTCCAGAGTTTAGACGCAAGGTATTAGGGAATGATGGTAAATCAGTTGACGAAGTTGTGAATCTTCATCAACTAAGATGATTCGGCCACGTGTTACTTATGCTTGAACACTGATTACCACGACACGCAATGCTGACTAGTGTTGGGAATGGTTCGAAGAAAGTTAGGGATGGACAAACCGAAATGTAGCATTAATTCTTGAAGTCACTAACTTCGAGCCTGAGCCATATTGTTAGATGCAAACTACTTGGTTGCGGTTCGCTTGACTATACTGTACAATATCCCTACATAAAATCTTTCCTTTACATATTACACCATTGAGTCAACTACTTCTATGAATCCGGTATTCGTCTTGCTGTACTAATGAGGTGTAGCAATTTGGACCAAACCATGTATGTGCTTGATCCTACGTTTTAACTGACTGACTGACTAACTTCCAGAGTTTCTGTATAAAGTATGATTGAATTAGTGTTCCTTGGGTTGTGATGGAGTTTTGTTCTCTACAAACCATTGGGAAACACAACCAAAACAAAGGAGTAAACAATGACAAATTTAAGATCAATAAGAACCAATCAACGGTAAGGTGTACAGAACAAGCTGTGAAACGCATATAGAGAAATTCGAACACTTCACTTCTATCTGAAGTTTGTGCTGATGATGAAAGCTCCACGACTAAACCATCCAACTCAGAGAACAAAACTCCATCAAAATCATCCACCTGAGCTATAAATCTTCTCCACCACTCTTGGGTTGTATTTCATGATCTTGATTCTCCCCCTTTGTGTATGTTGTTTGTTTTCTTTCTTTTTTTTTCTTGTTTCTTCTCATTTATAGAATTTATTACAAGCTCTTGAAGCATTACGTAGTAGTACAGAAATACAACAAATACAAAGTGAAGAATTAGTGAATGATTTAAAACGTGCTAATAGTGCATTAATTAAAGCATTTGATAAAATAAAACATAAATATACAACACGTATTAAAAAATTAGAAGATCAATTAAATTCTATGCATTCTATTCCTTCATCCACATGTTCTACATCATGTCATACTACTACTACTAGTTGTAGTAGTACATCTACTACTCATAATAATTATTTAAGTAATACATTCAAAGGATGTATGATAGAACATCATAATATTAATGAAATATCAAAAGCATCTATTGTATTAAATGATATGAATAATGTAAATATAAATTCTCAAATTCATCCCATTTATCCTGTGCAAAGTGCTTTACAACAACAACAACAACAACAACAACAACAACAACAACCTGTAATAACAACATCAACATATTCATTGAATATACCTTCAATAATTGATTGTCATCGTAATTTATCATCAATACCGACATCTCATATCCCTCCTATTCCTCAACATCAACATCAACAATATCCACTGCATCATCAACATGATCATCATTATTATCCACAAATTAAACAACAACCTATAACATTGAATACATCTCAATTGAGAACAACACCACTTTCAACTAATTCATTATCACAACAGTTTTCAAATTTAAAACATTTTCCTACTCACTGAAATATCATTCAATTTTTCCTTTTACTTCATTGTACATATATATAGGTCATCAATCAAATCAGTAAAGCTAACTTTTTTCCCTCCTCCTCCTCCTTCTTCTTTTTCTTCTTCTTCCTCTTCTTTTTCTTCTTCTTCTTCTTCTTCTTCTTCTTCTCCACCACGACCACGACCACGACCACGACCACCTCCTCCTCCTCCTGCTACTACTACTACTACTACTACTACTTCAAATTCTTATACGATTCTTGTTTCCCTTCTTTCTTTCTTTTTTTTTGTATGTGAATACTTAGCAACAATAACAATTCAGATAGTTATATTATCTCTTGTTTCCTTTCTTCTTTTTTTTCATATTTTCCGCGGTTTGTTTTGTTTTTAGCGGGAAATGATATTCTAACCGATAATGTGGTGTTTTTACTGCTGAACTACTCTTTTATTCAATATATATTTATATTTATATACTACTCATTGTACTACTTATATATTCATTACATATATTAAATGATCCGTGATGATTTTCAATATGCCTTATGAGGATAAGATTTATCATTTTCATATATTGATTAATTGATTTAAATCATTAAAAGGAATAGAATATGATTTATGCTTTTGATTTGCATTTTGTTGTTGTTGTTGCTGTGGTTGCTGTGGTAGTTCTTTCACATTGTACTCATTCTAACTAATCAATATGTTATGATGGTGATGATGATGCATTTGTTTTAATCTTTTCTTTTTTCTCCTCTCTCTCTCTCTTCATCTCTCTTGGAAACAAAACAAAATAGGAAATAATCAGAGAAAGGGTGGGGGTGGGGGTTGAAATTTTATAAGTCAATTAAAGTTAGATCATCATTAAAAAAACATGAACGTATTAGATGGTTGTTTCGTTCTAGTAGGGAACTTGTCAACAAGATGAAATGCTCATCCAATATTATCAGGTTTTCTATGCTAATCTAACTTTAATTGATTCATAGAAATTCAGTTATTAAAACAAAGAAATGATATCATCTTTGATATCTTCTTTTCTTTACCTCTTCTTGATGAAGCCTTCTATCCCACTGACATCTATATATTATACATATGAATCTGTTGTTCATCTCGTTGTACTCATGAGATATAACAACTTGAATCAATACCCTGATCCTAGATGGTAACTGATTGATGATTGACTGATCAGTTACATAATCATATTATAGATCAATATAGAAAGTGTTTGAAATGATTTCTCAGTATTGTTTATTTCATTGTTATCATTCTTTTATTCTTTCTCTTTTTTTCTCACTTTTTTATATATATACTACTGAATTACTTATTTTGATTTGCACATATTCAAATACATGCATATACATATATATATAATGTAAATTTCTTCATTAGTAATTTTGTATGAACAAGGAGTTTATAGATAAACAATAATATTACTTATTTGGGTGACTTCCTTTCTTTCGAATGTATGATATTACAACCAGCAACCAACAAGATCATTATGGAGATATCTCAAAAATTTGAATGAACAACAGTCTTAGTGTTATAACTTGTGAACCTATGTAACCTATTTATTGTATAACGCAACAATACCGCCAATCAGAGTGCAGTGAATTATCGATCGGACCAATGAAATCATAAAACCTGTGCGAGTAGTCTAGAGTCCTGATTGATCCCTGCTTTCCGCCTAGCCCAAACCAGTTAAGTCCAGTACACCAATCTTAGCCTCTACAATATGAATCCTTATATTTCAAACATTCTGTGTTTATATACCAACCAGACAGACCATATCGTACCAATAAAATAGGAAACAACATTTGTACAAGATCTAGCTAAATGTGGCTATAAGTGAGGGAGGTAGTAATTAATTGACAGGGCATAATTCTAGAATGGTAAATCGTATAATAATAGTTCATAAGTCAAAATAACGCTCATAATAAGAGGGACATGAATATGAATAGTTTAGTTATTTAACAATTATGTGATAAAAATATACGTTTAGTATTGGTCTATAAAAAGGATCCCAAAAGTTACCATTCATTATGCTTATCGGGACATAATACTTGGTAACTTGAGACTTTGATCATAGAGCCCAAAGGATAACTGTTTGATATCCGTCATTCACAAACTTTCTATAAGTAGTTTTATATATGTTAGATTCTTAATTTTCAAGTTCTACCATCAAAGATAGGAATTCATAGGGAAGGATGAGGTGAGTTCAAATTTACTAACCTTCACCTCAATTTGAGGGAATACAGTATAGGTAAAGGTAATGTTTAATGGTTGACATATTCTTGTTCATCTAGGTGTATATTTCCTTTTGACTTTCAATTTTCAGCTTTTTGTCTTACCACTCTTCAACTAATCTACTTGACATCATGAGATCTAAATGAAATGAATGTTTTGGTCAAGAAAGCTTATTATGATATGATATACAATCTTGAGCACTCATTGAACGTAGAGTTTTTGAATAGCTTAGTGTTAGTGTTTCAGGTCATAACACTTCAATAAGTATTTAAATCTAATAGAGGTTATTAGTTCTCTCGAAACTGAGAGTAACCCTTTCCGACAAGGGCTAACCGTTACAAAACTAATCTTTTGGGTTTTAACTCAATCCATTCAACTACCTAACATATCAAGTTGAGCCTAGAATAACTTTCCTCATAGTGTTTTTTGAATTGATCCAGCAACAAACGTAGTATTGTCAAAAGTCAACTTCTGATAGAAATTCACCTAAAAGTAATCAGAAATGACCAATATAATAACTTTCTATATTTTCGATTTGTTTGATGGTTGTTAGTCATTAACAATATGAGAGTTAACACCAGCACAAGTTGATACACTTTAGATCATCATTTTGAAAAATCAACATACAGTGAATAGTTGTTTCCTTTTCATTTGGAACTTCTTAAGATTGGGAATACATGAGCTTAGATGAGATTCAACCTATGACCTTGTAGTCCGGTAGACACGAACTGTGAAATTCAACCATAGAACTGAACGATCTGCATGATAATTTTCCAATACTATTGATAATAACAATTTCATTTTCGATATGTTTGAGCCTTACCAGGTATGATATCTACCTAGAATTCCAGAAGTTAATCTTTGATACTTACCTACTTGCGCCTGTTAATCACAATCGAGCATAGACCGCCGACCAGCATTCTCCAACTCATACTGTCCGCAGCCTTCCTTTCTAGTTCCATACAATTGTTGTTCATTCTTCTCATATCTGCCTCTTTTTCTCGGTGGAATGTGTTCTTTGGTTTTCCTCTTCTCCTCTGGCCTTGAGGATTACAAGTGATGAGAACTTGCCTTGTAACGCAGTTGTGTGCTTTCCTCGATGTGTGTCCTATCCACTTCCAGCACTTCTTCCTGATTTCTTCCACTGGAATGTAGTTTGTTCTCTCTCACAGTAGGTTGTTGCTGATAGTTTAGTGTCTGGCCGACGGATCCGAAATATTTCGCATAGACAACTGAATAAACACTTGTATGTTGTGAATGATGGCTTTCGTAGTTCTCTATGTTTCCGCCCCATACAGTAGAACTGTCTTGACATTTATATTGAAACTTCTGACTTTGGTGTTGTTTGACAGACAGTTGTTTTGAGTTCCCAATATTCTTCAGTTGTATATATGCTACTCTTGCTTTGCCGATCCGCACCTTAACATCTGCATCAGATCCACTGTGTTCATCAATGATTCTGCCCAAATATCTAAAGGTTTTGTTATACGGTCTTGAATGAGCACTAATGAGGTGTCCCATGTTAGAATTAATATGCTACTTGGTTTTGTCTGATTTTCAATGCTGTATAAATACCACCCATAAATCAAAATAATTACAACAAAATATCTCGATAGTCATATATTATAGTATCCTCATTGATACCTTGCTTCAGGGTGAGTTCTCAAAGTTCCAGTAAACAGTTTTGATTTAGTGGAGTGAGATGGTGATCACCAATTAATGATAGTGAATTACTGTCACGCTAGATCACAAATCAGTTAAAGTTAGAAATGTAAAACACTAGATATCATCTCAGTGATGTAAGGGTTAAAGACTTATCCCGAGAACGAATTATCTTAGGTTTATTCCATATCAAGGACATAGGTATGTACTACCGAGCAGTCTCAAACTACTACGAAACTGCTATAAAGTACTCCTTTTAGTTTTCAATGGCCCGTCAACTAATATTCATCAATGACAAGAATAAACTTCACTTTGAGCTGACCATCATAAATCTTTAATCTGAAAAATGAACATTAAACCGATAGGTTCACCATTGATTGATCTCTGGATGGTGATCAATTTCATGTATGTCAGGTCCTTCTTAGTACGGATCGAATCCTATCGACCGAATTGCAATGTGGCCACGAGTACAGGTGACTTGACAGTGCGTACACTATGTTGAGATAAGATGGTGGTTGGAGGTAGTCAACAGAAAATCCTGGACCTAGGTTTTGTGCTATTTGGTACTCGTCAGCAAGGTTTACCTGTAATCTTGAGAGGACTGATGCTCTCTGACGGATTCAGTCCCATGTTACCCAGCTTCACAGTTAGAGACATTACCAATAGGCTATCCAGGCGGCGACTGAGCTTCTGTAGGATTGAGCTGTATTCACAATACATTAAACACACATAGATAGTTTAAGTATTTTATTAAATAAGAAGACATTAGTAAATTCAATACATTTCTCATAAGGTTGCAATAAAAAGCAGTCGTATATAAATTTCCATTACTGGTACATTGATTCATTTTAGCAACAGTTCTGAAATGTATAAAACGATAAAACAGAAAAGCCCATTCAACAATGGAAAGAAGAATAAAATTAAGATGAACAGTAATATTAGAATCAGTTGTAAGGGATATTCCGCCACTGATTCGTCCACAAAGCACAGACTTTTTACCCAACATTTCCTCATATAGTTATTGTAAGGGCTGAAGATATAACTAGATTCCTTATATAAGCACATAAAACCAGTAAACATTGTACACGGAGGGTTTACCTATGGGGGATTGAAAAACCCTGATTCCAAATCAATGATGAACATGGGCTTCAGGATCTTGAGGGAATCCAAAGTGTATGAACCTATTGTTGGTCACCGACTACCACGGGATCACATTTCCTCACGTTGCTTCACTGCCTTATGGATTAGACCTTTAGGTCAAAGGCTCCAGGTGTGGCCTCCTATGAAAACCACCCGCTTCGGTTTGGGCACCCGGGCAGTATCTCAACCCTTATAAAAATGAACTATTACTACTACTGGCCTCATTGTTATTGTGTCGCGTATATGTATTTAGTACCCCCGTGTACCAATGTTTATGTGTTCAAGTAAGTAAATAATAAACAGTACACCTGTTTCACCCTTGTATAGGACTCATGAGTGACAATGCAGACGCACAACCACATCAGTGATCGAACTCAGGACTTTTAAGTCCCGTAATGAGTGTTTAAAATTTAGACCTATAAGTCGGTTACCAATGATTAATGTGTCTAACTTCAATCAACCTATGACATTATGTAACTATATTCCAACGATATAGTTGAGTAATTGCCTCAAACCAGATATAGTTGAACTTCATTGAATATAGAGTCTCTCACAGAGCCAAGAGAATCACATCTTAAAATTAGTCATTAGTGAGGGCATAATTACTAATTACTAATGTAGGAGGTTTGTAGGGCTTATTGAATTGTAAAGTTTGAATCTTAAAATTGAAAGAAACAACTAACTAGTGCTTTCTGATTTTCAGTGGTTGCTCGACTGAATTCAATCCATAATGTAAGCAAATAAACAATTTCCACTAATTTCTCACACTAACTACTTGATTGGCTAAACTGATTCAAGAGGACCTAGGTTCAAGTTGATGACCGAATTGTTAAAGGTTGAATTATTCAACCACTATACCTTGAATGCCGAGCAAATTAGTAATTCAGTAGTAAACTAATGGATAAACTTCTGTCATTTGAAGTATATAATTTTGACTCTCTGAAGGAACATCACTATTGAATTTCACAGTTGACAGGTCCTTAGTATGAGGAGATGCTGATTTCTAATCAGCTATTTACTACTATCTTAAAATATAATCAGTAACCATAATGTGTTTACTTAACTTTTATGTTTTTTTGTCAGTATAGGGCTGTGGAGTTTGTTAAGTTATTGATTGAGACCACCATTGAAAATCTGAAAGCACTGGACTGCCGTTTCGTCCCATTGTGGAACTCCTCAGCATTGTGTATCCAAGATACCGCTCGCGGGATTTGAACCCGGGGCCTTTAGTCTTGCGCACGAACGCTCAACCTACTAGATCACTGAGCCGGTATCCAATGGTGTTAATGTTTAACCTCAACCAATCCACGAAATCGCGCTACCATCTTCCATTGTACAGAGGTAGATACCTGTCTCTATCCGGTGTTCACTCAGTCACTATACAATGTAATGAAGGAATAATGAATTAATAATCTACATTCTAACTTACCAAAAAGATCCTAAACATTTCCATCTTTGATGATTTTGTTGTATGATAAGCTGAATAATGCGTTTCATTCTATAACGTAGACAAAAGATGGAATGCATTCAATTACATATATATACTGAAGTTTTGAGATACTTTAATTCTCAAAGCTTACATTACGAACTGATTTTAATTAGATAGTTATTAAGAACTAGGAAGCATTGTTCCATCCTAGTATTAGAACTCAATAGTTCACATTCACGACCTCATTGAGGATCGAACTCTGAATCTTCGATTTCGCAGCTAGAACATAACCACAAAACAATCAAGCCAATATCTAATAGTGTACATATCAAACTTGAATCAATCGAAGACATTTCGGGATCATGTTCAGTTAGCTTCAGTGAATGACTGTCTCACACTAGATATGAATGGCATCTCAATAGAATTCCTGGAATTACATCTCGAAACTTAACTACGATTAGTTCATGGTATAAACTATATAAATAACGAGAGTTTAGTTTAATCATGATGATGAATAATGAAGTACAGAATGACAGGATACGGTTCAAGTCCGTTGATAGCTCAGTTGATATAGCGGAGGACTGTAGATTGGTGCATTGATTCTTAGGTCGGTGTTTCGACGTGTAATTCAAAAAATGTTACTCTCTCTGTCATGCTGTCATGAAAGACTTATTAACGTATTTATGAAAAGCATCAACTGAAAATGGATAACTAACGAGATTTATAAATGAAAATACAAAACAGTTCAAGATGATATCCATTACGGATCGATGTTTAAATTTTTCCTCCTATACATTGCAGAAGGGTGGAAACTTGGAGAAATACGAGAGCAATCAACCATTTAAACTCTGCTCTCCGAGTTGAATGATCGTCATTCAGAAGAATTACGACATCTCATGGTGATACCCCTTCTAACAACCGAAACAATAATTAATATAGACACGTAGAATGTTAAGACAATGTGAGGAGATACAACTCGACTGTGTTCTGAAACAATGGAGCCCATTGGACAGAAAAAGACAAATTCGGAGAGATGCTGTCGTACTCTGGTCACGAAGAATAAAATGCTCTACACACTCAAGGAGTTGCTCTGATGCTGTCCAAAGAAGCAAATGAAGCACTTACAGTGTGGGAATCTAATGGATCCATGACCATCAAAACATCCTTCGAAACAAAGTTGGATGGAATCACAATGAATGTTATCCAATGTGTTTCACCTACCAATGATAGCAATGACGATGATTAAGATCAGTTTTATGAGAGATTGCAATCAATCACATCGAAGTGCTCACGAAAGGACCTCACAATCTTGATGGACGACCTAGACTTTAAAATTGGAATGGACATCGGGTATGAAGATATTAGGATGTGATATAGACTGACCGGAAGAAAGAAACGAGAATGGTGAGAGATTCGGAAATTGATGTGTATTAAACAAAATCATTATAGGTGGCACAATATTCCCACACAAACGCATACATAAAGCTGCATGAGTCTCATCGGAACACATTACGGAGAATTAGATAGATCATATTTGCATCAGTAAAGAGTTCACAAGGTCAATGGAAGTTTTGAGAACCTGAAGGGGAGCTGACATAGATTCAAATATCACCTGTCTGTGGTTAAAATGAAAATGAAGCCAAAGAAGCATTGGACAAATGGACAAACAGCATTACAAAAATTCAATACAGCCTTCCTTCGACGTACTGACAAACTCAACGAGTTCAAGATAACTCTCAACAACAAGTTCCAAGCCTTACAAGATCTACTCACAGAATAAGAAACTACTATGGAGGACAATTGGAAAGAGATCAAATAAGCACTAACCTCAACGTATCAGAAGGTTCTGAGCTTCAAGAAGCATCATCATAACGAGTGGATCTCTATCGAAACATTGGGTAGGATTCAAGAAAAGAGGAGCAAGAAGACAGCAATTAACAACAGTCACACAAGAACAGGAGATGTCAAGGCACATGCTGAACACACTGAAGCAAACAAGCAAGGGAAGAGGAGCATTAGAACCGACAAGCTAGCAACGACAGAGGGAAAAGCTTCAAGAGAAGGAATTGTGAAACAACAATATGACACGACGAAGAAACTGTCAGGGAAATGTAGTAAACCAAACCAAGGACAAAGAAAGCAATTCAATCACTGAGATTCAAGAACAGAGGAACAGTTTGAAGAACTCTTGAATAAACTAGTCCCACTGAACGCATCAGAGATCAAAGCAGCACCTACAGACCTTCCTGTAGATGTCATGCAACCAGCAAACGAAAAAATCAGGATAACCATCAAACAAATCGAGAGGGAGAAAGAAGCAGGACTAGATGCCAGTGTTTGAACTTAAGGTATTTATTTACGGACTCAAGTCCTTAACCTTTAAACCACTAAGTTAACATCCAATGGTTCATATTTCAACTCCGCCTATAGTCCCTCCGGGGGTTACTGCCGGTCTCAAGCCCGGATAAAGGAGGAGGGTTGGACATGGGGTTAGCAACCCCATCCCGTAAAAATCTAACTAGCTAAATAAACGCTAATCCAAGTAAGATTCACATTTCCACATTTATAATATTCCCTGTTTTTTAGGTAGTATCCCTGACTAATGTCAGATCATAAAGAACAACTACCAATAAATTCAAAAATTCTCCACAACATCTTCCTAAATAAATATCCTTTGTCAGAATGGGTTTTATGGAGCTTTTTAGAAATTTCACCGGTTGAAATCATGAGTCAATTGAAGCTAGACCACCATGGAAAACCTGGAAGTACTGAACGGCCGTTTCGTCCTAGTGTGGGACTCCGTTACCAGTGGATTTCAACCAGTTCTGTTGTGAGATAGTTGGTTAAGTGCCTGGCGCGAGACTGGTAGGTCCAGGGTTCGAATCTCGCGGGGGGTGGGACCGTGGATGCGCACTCCTGAAGAGTCTCATACTAGGACGAAACGGCCGTCCAGTGCTTTCAGGTTTTCCATGGTGGTCTAGCTTCAATTGACTCATGATTTCAACCAGTGAAATATCCTTTGAACTATTCAATAGATGATTCTTATTATTTTCTTACTTTGACGATGGTGAAGTTGGTGTTAACTTATTGAATCCAATCGATATTGGCTTTCCTTGTAAACTTTGTATTAAATAATTTGAAGATAATTCATTTATGGATGATCCATTAATCAATATTGGTATACCTAATCCATTGATTAAATAAATTATTCGAGCTAAGCTTTCAGATGTGACAAATTCCTATGGAAAGAAGAAGAAGAAGAAGATTGTTACTGTGGGGGAGGGATGTGGAAATGATTGATCTTTTTTTCTAGTTTACATCATGGATAGACCTTAAATAGACAATCATTGCATGCCTATTTAGTCCCAGTATGAGACACATTATTTGTGCCAGTGATTTGAACCAACCAGGTAATGAACCCAAGACTTCTAGGTCTTGTAGCCGATGCTTACCCTTCAGATGAATGACCTTGTATCTTATGGTTTATATTTACAACTTCCAACCAATTCGTAATGTTTTTCAATCATTCTGTAATGTCACTACTGGGTAATTTCCTTTATTCCTATATGATTTAACTCCGTTATACTCACTATACAGGTTATCACTAAGACTCAAGTAGTACTTTAAGCGACAGAGGATTGAAGCATGTAACCCGTTCCAGACTATAATCTTACTTACTTACTTACGCCTGTTACTCCCAATCGAGCATAGACCGCTGACCGGCATTCTCCAACCCATTCTGTTCACAGCCTTCCTTTCTACATCTATCCAATTATTGTTCATTGTTCTCATATCTGTCTCTATTTATCGGTGGAATGTGTTCTTTGGTTTGCCTCTTTTCCTTTGGCTTTGAGGATTCCAGGTGATGATAGCTTGTTTTGTGACGTAGTTGTGTGCTTTCCTCGATGTATGTCCTGTCCACTTCCAGCACTTCTTCCTGATTTCTCCCACCACTGGAATATGGTTTGTTCTCTCCTATAGTAGGTTGTTGCCAATAGTGTAGTGTCTGACCAACGTATCCGAAATATTTTGCATAGACAACTGTAAACAAACACTTGTATGTTGTGGATGATGACTTTCATAGTTCTCCATGTTTCCGCCGCATACAGTAGAACTGTCTTGACATTTGTATTGAAACTTCTGACTTTAGTGTTGTTTGACAGATAGTTGTTTTGACTTCCAGATATTCTTCAATTGTATATATGCTACTCTTGCTTTACCGATCCGCAGCTTAACATCTGTATCAGATACACCGTGTTCATCAGTGGTGCTCTGCTTGGAGCTCCTCTAGGGCCAATGCCGGTCTCAAGCCCGGATAAAAAAGCAGGGTTAAGCATAGGATTAGCGACTCAATTCCTGAAAAAATACTCTAACCAGAAAATATAATTTAAACCAAACTATAGTCAGGATACTTTAATTCACTATGAATGATATCAAGCTTACATATCATCATCTTTCTACAGGTTTTATTCAAACAAACTACTTTTAATTTACAAGTCTGACACCTAACTAAGTCAAACCATTCATCTATTAATCATTATTCAAGGACAAAATCAGCATAAAAATCTTCATTGACAATAAGTCTTGTAACTTTGTAACCTACGACGTAATTTTTTTTTTCAATCTTAAACGAATTATTTATAATCAGAAGGGGCTCATTTGGATAGTATAGTAGTTTTAGTTGTTGATATCATGAGTCAATTAAAGGTAGACCATCATTAAAAACTTGGAAGCACTAGATGGCCGTTTCGTCCCATTGTTGAACTCCTCAGTAGTGCGCATCCACGATCCTGCTTCACGGGATGCCCGTTCGCGCACGAGACCGATAGATCCTGGGTTCGAACCACACGAGGTGATATCATGAATGCGCACTGCTGTGAAGTCTCACAATAGAATGAAACGGATATCCACCTTCAAATGACTCATGATCTTAACTATTAGAATTATTTATAATCAGAACTTACATTTTTCATTTTATTAGATCCATTCAATAGATAAATTAGATCTGGTTCATATTCATAAGATATTGGTAAAACTATATGATATAACATTGATAGTAAATTGATCATATTTATATCATCATGAACAGTTTGCGATTGTAATTTCTCATTTGCATCATTCACTGTTTCACTCATGTTGTCAATGTTTTCTATGCTGGTTGGAAAAGGGATTTTAAGCCAAACTACATGATGTATCTTTAATTCATTATTATTAGATACTGAATCAGAAGTATAGAAATCTTTAGCGCGTAATTCATTCAGTTTGGTCAATAATTGATTTGCTACATTACCATAATAAACTGAACACCAAATGAAACTGTAATAAAAATAAATTCATAAGTTAGATCTATTTTTTCAAAAAATAACATTAAGGATCTTTCATTTGATGTTGTTTCCTGGTATCTTCCCATGGATCTCTTTAGGATTGTAATTGATCATCTGTCTCTTATTGACATCTGTGTATCCTGTGCGAACTGCCTCAATATTGTCTTAAGTTACAAGTATTATAAGCATAGATGGATAGTGGCTAGTTAAACGGAAAGTGCTATATTGTTTGAAGTGAACGATACTGGGTTCGAATCGCAGAGTGAACATCAATTCACTAATGCAGGTACATCGGGTTGACGAGTCCTGAATAGGACGAAGTGGAGCGTGTTTTGAATTCCATTGTCATCCACTATCCATCTTTGCTTGTAGCAAAAATAGTTGTATGTATATGAAATACATGAAATCTATCGAATGAAACCTCAAAACTTCCTTCACAATTTCTAGCATAGTTAAATGCTAGTTGATTTTGTTTAAATTTCATCTTTTTCTAATTCATATCACCTTCTTGTAACACAAATAAAATATTTATCTACCTGTTAAATGATGAGTACACTTCTCAGTAGTTCATTGTATGGAATCCAGAACGCACGTTTTGTCCCATTTGGAACTCGTCAGTTGAATGTACCTACATCTCAGACTTGTTGATGTTCACTCTAAGACTCGAACTCAGTATCATTCGCTTCAAACACCATTAAGTTATCCATCTAGCTACTGAGTCCTGATAGCCATTTGATTGTACAATAAAGTAACTATTAAAAATTTTTGGTGCATGATTGTGGAGAAGAATTTCCATCTACATTTTTACACACTTCAACACTTCTTAACCTTAATCCCTTTGGTAAGAATGATGATTATTTTACGTTTAAACCATATGATCATAATCAAAATTATTCATATTTCTAAATTCAATTAATTCTATATGATTATCTCAACATGTGCTCCCTAGCGAATAGCCTTGTGAGGGAATTCTCGGAGTTCTAGTGTGAGGCCGTGACCAGTGGAGCTAATCCATGTCGGGTGGAGACAAGTATCTACCTCAGTACAATGGAAGTTGGTCGCGCAATTTCGTGGATTGGTTGATGTTAGACACCATCAACATTGGATGCCGGCTCAGTGATCCAGTAGGTTAAGCGTTCGCGCGCGAGACCGAAGGCCCTGGGTTCGAATCCCGCTAGTGGAATCATTGGTGCGCAGTGCTGAGTCCCACAATAGGACGGAACGGCTGTCCAGTGCTTCCAGGTTTCCAAAGGTGGTGGTCTAGCATCAATCGGTTCATGATCTCAATCAAAAACTTAATAATCTCCACAACCCCTATACTAATTATCTCATCATTATTTATGACCATTAGTTATACCTGACTAAATTCTCGTGTGAGTGAACTCCATATGAGTAATGCATATTGTAATTTGTAGTTGACAAGGATATTATTATTATTCAATTTAATTAACAGAATTTCATCAATACTAAATGAATAAACAAACATAACGGTGTTTACTAATCAGTGATTGGTTGATATCTATTCTTCAATATTCATCATTTCTTAAAAGCATTGACCAGTGAAGTTCAACCAGGTTTGTTGTGAGATAGTAACTAATTGGGGACGATAGTGAATGTGTCGCACAAATTTCGTGGATTAATTGAATTTAAACATTCACATCGTTGGATACCAGTAAGTTCAGTGATTTGAAGGTTAAGTGCTCATATACGAGACTAATAGGTCCTGAGTTCGAATCTCGTGAGGCGGGATTGTGAATGCACACTGCTGAATATTCCTACATTAGGACGAAACGGTCATCCAGTGCTTCTAGGTTTTCCATGATGGTCTAGCTTTAATTAACTCATAATCTCAACTATTAACACTTAAAACATTGCAATAATGATCTAATGTTGATCAATTGTCTTAGACTTCATTGTTCCTTCATTTCTACATCAATCAGTCTATGTTCTCATGTTCTTCTCTTTGATTTTCTTAACCTTCTACCTCTAGATATTTCATTTACAACTAATGATACACACTACGTATATAACTGTCGATATCAGTAGTATATATTTATTTATTTTAACACATAGATATTGGTACAAGGAGGCACCAAATATATATGCACCACATAAATCTCATTTGATATGTGTGAGGGCTGTGATACTGCCCGAGTGCTCAAACCGAAGAAGGTGGTTTACTTAGGGGGCCACACACAGAGCCTTCGACCTGAAGGTCTGATCCACAAGGCAGTGGAGCATCGTAAAAAGATGCAGTCCCATGGTAGCCTGTGATCAATAATTGGTTCATACTCCATTTGTTCCCTCAGGATACTGGAGCCCATGTGCATCATTGGTTTGGGATCCGGTTAAAGCGCCGGACATACTATACAATGAATTAGAAACTATAACTAAACATCTTATCTAATACTTTTTAATTGTTTTAATTTAGTTTATGAATGAACTTCTCATTGAGAATATTTATAAATGGTTGTTTTTATTCAAATTACCTTATTCATTCCTTAATTGTTTCATTCATTCATTCATTCATTCATTTAAATTATGTAATTGTTTATAATGAAATACATGAAAACAAAATAAGATTATTTAATCTAATTCAATGTTTACATAAATTGCTTGCTATTTGTAATTCATTCAATGTAAACAACTTAATTTGATTTATTATTCATTATATAATAATAATATTATTATTATTACTAATACTAATACTAGTAATACTGTGATGTGAGTTACTTATATGCACACAAGTAGTATATAACGGTGGTCAGCCATATAATGTATTTCAGTAGAAGATCGACGAGGAAAGAACGAGAACGGAATGCAATTGATATTGCATCGGCTGTGGCGAGTGTTGTCGACGGAATGGAGTGGCGGAAAATGAGGATGCTGGGCGGACGTCGGATGTAGATGACTCAGCAGGCCGCTCGAGCGCAGGCGTCGAACGCTCCGGATGCCGGGATGTCTGATGCTGTAGCCCCGGATGGTTGACGGAGCTATGGAGGTAAGCGTGCCGCAGACTCCACATTTTGACGGAGAGTGTGGCACGGACTGCAGAGAAGAAGAAAGTAGCACGGCGAGCAGAACCACTGCAAGAACGAACGCTTTAAAGGGGAAAGGGGACGAGTGTGGTGTTACTTATATTCACACAAGTAGTATATGACGGTGGTCAGCCATAGAATGTATTTCAGTCGAAGATCGAGAAGGAAAGAAAGGGAACGCAATGCAATTGGTATGAAAATACATGAACAATGATATTTTGCAAATGAACTATTTACTATATATGGTTCTCAGATTTTATTGAGATGCTCTGTAATTTTGTGCTCAAATACATTCGATTATCCCCACTCTTGTTCTTGTTCACTACAACAATACTAATAATACTGATACTAGTAATATCAATACCAATACTAATACCGGTGCTAATAATAGTAGTAACACTCATACGAATAATGTTAATACTAATAATACCAATGCTCACACTACTAATACTAGTACCAATAATACTACTAGTAATAATACTTTTGCTATTACTAGTGACACTCATACTAATACTAATAGTATTGATAATACTGATACTGCCAATACTAATAGTACTGATACTACTAATAATACTAATACTAACGATACTACTATTGGTACTACTACTGATAATACTAGTACTAATACTAATGGTACTAATACTAGCACCAATACTGCTAACAATACTAATACTAATACTCGTATTAGACATATTAGACATTAATATCATTTGATGCCGGCTTAGTAGTCTAGAAGGTAAGCGATTGTGTGCAAAGCTAATAGGTTCTGGGTTCGAATGACGTGAGAGGGACTGTGGGTGCCCACTTTCCATATCTGTTCAGAGTATATTAACTTTTGTATGATATTCAATATAGGGATTGTGATTATCAAGTTTTTGATGGAGATCATGAACCGATTGATATTAGACCATCATTGAAAACCTAAAAGCATTGGACAGCCGTTTCGTGAGAAGCCATGACCAGTAGAGCTAATCCGTGTCGGGTAGAGACAAGTATCTACCACAATGCAAAGGAAGATGGTCATGCGATTTCGTGGATTGGTTGAGGTTAGACATTAACACCATTAGATGCCGTCTCAGTGGTCCAGTAGGTTAAGCATTCACGCGCAAGACTGAAGGCCCTGTGTTCGAATCCCTCGAGTGGGATCGTGGATGCGCACTGCTGAGGAGTCCCACAATAGGACGGAACGGCCGTCCAGTGCTTCCAGGTTTTCAATGGTGGTCAACAAATTACATCATAACCTTAGTAAATAAAAATTCAATATAATCAGTGTGACTTGATAATTACATATTATTTATTTTAACACATAGATATTGGTACAAGGAGGCACCAAATATATATGCACCACATAAATCTCATTTGATATGTGTGAGGGCTGTGATATTGCCCGGGTGCTCAGACTGAAGCAAGTGGTTTTCTAAGGGGGCCACACACAGAGCCTTCGACCTGAAGGTCTGATCCATAAGGCAGTGGAGCATTGTAAGGAGATGCAGTCCCATGGTAGCCGGTCACAAATAATAGGTTCATACTCCATTTGTTCCTTCAGGAAACTGGAGCCCATGTGCACCACTGGTTTGGAATCAGGGTTTTCCAACTCCCATAGTTGTACTCTCCGTATCCAACAACCCGTTTAAAGCGCCTGACGGACATTCGCTTTTTGTCCTCTCAATTTCGTAAACAAAACCCTCGCCACGAGAAGGTAGTGAGTAGGACTTACATGGCAGAGGCTATATACGCGTGACCATGTGGGAACATTTGGAGAGAGAGAGAGGACTCTCCTCACTCTTGGCCGTATTTAGGGCATTTGGGGGCTGGGTGGTTTAATCTTGGAGCTTTCATTATACTTCTGAACGACATCATCAGCATAAACTTCAAATAGAAGTGAAATGTTCGAATTTCTTCATATATAGTTCATAGCTTATCCTGTATACCTCGATGTTGATTAGTTCTTGTT